ATAAGGAAACCTGTTATGCGAAAAACCTGTCATGTTATGATGCATGGGATATGTACATGCAAATGTTTTCAACGATTAATGGGATTTAAATTTGTATAGACAAACAGAATGAACAAACGTTAATTTTCATTAGACAAAACAAGAAAGATTACATCATGCCTCTTAGGCTTACAAAATAGCTTTCTAATATAAAAAGACTAAGCGTATCCTCTTTGGCGCGAGATAAGCGTTCACACTTTGCTCTTCTTGTAACTGCTTCGTAAGCTCCAAGACCCTCTTCTCACTAGCATAGAATTAGGCCTCGAAAGTATCTCGTTCTTCCTTAAACTGGACCCAGCCCTTTTGTAATTCTTCGAGAGAGGTAGGCATGTCGGGATGAAGGATAGTGTAGGGGACATCCCCTTCGACCACAGGATCCACAATGACTGGTAAGATGGAGGGATAAGGCATCACAAGTTTCTGAGCATGAGCTCACACCCATTTAAGGTAAGGCTCGAGGGGAATGGAATTCTTGTGTCCTAGCGTCTTGCTATCCACCTTGTTCAACATCCTCCAAGCTCGGATAAAACTTTGACAGTAACCTTGATCGTCACTCTCATAGTTAAATACCAAACCTTGAATAAGCATCTCGTGTGGACCATCCCATCGGGCGTAATCAAACTGTCTTAAGGCTAAGCAAGGGTTGTAGTTGATACCTCCTCTAATTCCAAGTAAAGGGACATTAGGGAATTCTCCACAACGGTCAACGATAGTAACATTCTCCAAAGCGCGGGAACACTAATGAATATCTGAATGTCTGAGCGTCACCAACCTTTGTGACCACCATGAACCTTGCTCGTTCTTTAATACAGATTGGGGAAGATGCGAAATAAACCATCTTGCCAAGAGATGAGTACAACACATAAGGATACCTCTTTTCCTCATTGTGCGAGTGTGAAAGGAATGTAGGATGTCCCCTAGCAAAGTAGGCACCGGGTTACGAGACATGAATATTTTGACGATGTTCACATCTATGAGTTGGTCAAGATTTGGAAACAAAACCATACCATAGATGAGGAGAGCCACAATTTCCTCAAAGGCTTACAAATCCAAAGAGTTCCAACAGTTTTGGGCTTTCTCAAACAAGAACTTTGCTAGGAAACCTTTGACACCACTCCTTGTTTCCCAATTAGTTGAGATTTAGATGGTTGCAAGTGTAGAGCTTGAGCAATCTCTTCTGGCTTTGGATCTCTTTTTGTGCCGTTGAAAGGTAGTTGATTGAGAATGGGAATCCTCAAGAGTTGGGAGAATTCTTCCAAAGTTGGCACAAGTTGATAATCGGGAAATGTGAAGCAATGGTGTAGAGGATCAAAGAACTGAAAGAGCACCTTCATCATGTCTTCATCAGTGTTGGAGGTGACCAAGTTTAGTAGGCGACCATGTCTTTTGGTGAATGGAGAATTTTCAGGAATCCTTGATGTTAACTCTTTGAGTTTAGGAGGGATCCTTACGAGATTGACTTGAATGGTTTTCCTGCGAACATAATCCATGTCTTACAAAACAGAACAAAGATAAATCCCAAAAATCCTTGAAATGGTTAGTGAGTATGAGTATGATGTCATGATGTTTATGATGTTATGCATAAGTATATATATACAAACAAAGCAAACAAGTCCTTAGGTTTAGGCTTGCATGGAGTCTCATAGGTAAGTACCCTCTTGAAGTTTAGTTGGCTCAAACCTATCCTAGTAATAGTAACCGGGTTCTAAGGGAGCTCAAAATCACTGGTTTGTTTCCTTGGGCATTGTTTCAGCGCAAGCCTCTTTAATGGCGACTGAAATATCCCAAAAACCAAACCTCAATGAGTGAAGTATCGAGTATCTACCAACTTCGGACTGCACCAAAGCCGGTCATCTCACTACGTCCTAAAGGCCAAGTTGGTCAAGTAAAGGTTCTAAAAGTTCATTAGTGCTTCATGACACCACTCAGCGGCCCCGTATTCTCCTTGACTACTCAAGGGCTACCGGTACCCACAAATATGTCGCTCTAACGTAGCTATTGCTTAGACCATGTCAGTATTGCTAAGAAGAAGAAAAAAAAAGTGATTCTTTTGGAGATACAATGAACACAGAATAAACAAAAAAAACACGAAAATAATCTTACCAATTGAGATATCTTTGCCAAATTAAATATACCACCTCCCTAGTAACCAATTAGCTATTTACATGAAACTATTTTTTTTAAATGTTAAGCAAGTGTATGAGAGTTGCCTTAATAACTTGTGAGTTATTCTAATACTTTTACAATACTCTGGTCACTCAGACATTGCGCTATGTTCACTATAGATTAGGCGAGCTTTTGCACTTCATCTCTTTCACAAATTTGAAGCTTCAGATTCCTTGCTACATTATCTTAGACATTTAACACTTCTTTGAAACCTAAAATCTTCTCTATAATAAGGTTTGAGATAACTTCAGGATGAGCCTCATCATTAGAGATTGTTTGAAATAAAATATCTAGGACAATAATGATCAACCAATAGTTTTCCACCGAACATCAGAGTTATAATCAAAACCACCATGATCAATCAACGAATCAAAACATCAGCTATTGTACTTGTACGTACATAGATCCACAACCACCAACCACTTCTTATTGTTGTTACCTAAGTCTCATGTGTAAAAAGCTTTTGATCTCAGTAAATGTTTGAACAAGATCCCCAACACCGTAGGTTCATCACATTCAATTGAAAATGAGAACACTTTACAGAAAAATAAATATCATGAAAAAAGTTGTTTTACTCTAATTGATGAAATCAAAAAAATTAATGTCTAAAGTAGTTTTCAACAACAACATCAAAAACTTCATAAGTTATAAGCGTACAATTATATCAATATAGTAAAAATGATCATTCCACTGAAGACTGTTTGAATTATCGATTTGTATGTATTCTATAATTAACTAAAATCATAATAAGCTTTTTTTTTTTTAAATATATTTTGATTGATTAAGAACTTTTTAAAGAATAGCTATAGAATTTTAAACATGTTAAATAATTTATTCATGTTAACTTTCGTTTTTGCTGTCGAGGCTCCCATAAAGAGAATGTTTCTAACAAGGTTCAAACCCATGACTCTAGAGTCACAATGGAACAACCTTACCGTTGAACCAAGGTTATCCCTTTTATTATGATAATTCAAATATTACAGAAATAAAGTAGATAAATATAACCACATCTCCTTTCGAAGTATATGATAGTGTCCTAAACTGATGAATCATCTACCTTTGTATTGATAATCCTCGTTTAGGATCCTTTAAGAAAAACTACCTTTAAAAGAATTTAGTCAATGAAACTAGAAATACTTCATGTCTTGATTTAACGGTATTACTATTTTAGTTTGGATATCAGTCTTTACCTTTCACTGTTTCGATTAATATTTAATGCTACCTTACTTTCATAGAGATGTATGTGAAAAGTCCTAAAAGATCAAGACAATCATATAATTTTTATCAAATAATTCAAACTAAGAGTCTACATAAGATCAGTCTTTTAGACAATCTTCACGATCCTAAGTCTATGATTAACTACTTGCTCATGGTTTTAAATAGCAGAGAAGATAAAAGCAGTAGAGTTTTGTTCTTCAAATTACAAGGAAAATAAATTTGGTGAAAAAACTAAAATCTGTAAATTATGTAGAACGTATTAGAAAGTGTGAAGGTGCTAAATGATGTTTAAAACATTATTATATGGCCTATGTTTAAAATCCTAATTTGCTTTCGGTGTGTAAAAGACGGAAGCAAAAAGAGTATAGTCTTGGTACTCTGGACTCTTTTACGTGTTGCAAGTGATAGAATTGTCAATATTTTGCAGTTAAACTTGACTTATCGGTAAAAGACAAAAAAACAAAAAAGGTCTAATCTTGGTACTCTGGATGGTGCAAGTGATAGAATTGTCAAGTTTAAACAACAATTATAATGTATAATATTTTAAAAAAACAATTAACTGAATAAATTCAAAAATAATTTGGAATTTGATTCAACAATTAAGTTGTTAAATTAGATTTATAGAGTAAATAAATAGAATATAAAATAAAAATTAAATTTGTTAATTAAATAATTTCAATTTAATCTATATATAATTAAGTCGAATTAGATATATATAATTAAGTCGAATTAGATTTATGAGTCAACTCAATTATATATAAAATATACTATATTGTTTTTTAAGAAAATATTTAAAGATTTGTTTTAAATATTAAATTTATATTTCTTTTTAATTTAACAGTTTTAATTAATAATTTATATTCTCAATAAGTTAAATATTTTTTTAAAAGTAATTATACAAATAAAATTCAAATCGTATAAATTTCAAATTTATAATTTTTATTTTTTATTTATAATTTTTATAAAAAATATTAATTTAAAATATCATATATGAAAAATAATATACTTTAAAAATAATTTTAAAATCAATGAAATAAATGAGTTAAATCGAATAAATTAAATCAAATTGTTTGTGAATTTTTAATGAGTTGAATTTAAATTAAATTTTTTTATAACAATTAAAAATTAATATTTAAATTAAATCAATTTTAAACGAGTCGAATCAGTCAAAGTGAATTCGAGGTGACTCGTCTCATTTCCAATCTTAATTAGTTTAAATAAAATGTGAAAGGTAGAAAAGTTAGAAAAGAAAAAAAAGGTAGTATCGTGGAAGCACGCACGTATAGGCGTACGAATTTGAAAAAGAATTATAGTGTATTATATATAAAGAAATCATAATATTAAATATTAAAGAAATAATATTTCAGTAAAAAAAACAAGATATAATATTATATTAAACGGTTAAAAACATACGCACGTTTTATACATATATTGCTTGATACCAATGTTGTCCCATGTGGTGATGACTCAAAGAGAACAAACGTAGAGCCAAAGAAGAAAAAACCATAGAAGAATAAGAAATTGTCGTAAAAGTAAGTGACATACATACATAAATATAAAAATAGATCATTAGAGAAATGACCATGAAGGATGCTATGGAAGAAGGCTCAAATAATAAGTGGGAATGGAGAAAAACAAGAACAACATTAATGGTGGAACTGAAGAAGATGAGTAGTATAGCAGGACCAATGGTGGCAACAACTGTGCTGCAATATCTTCTGCAAGTAGTTTCAGTGATGATGGTTGGACATCTTAGCCAGCTTTCTCTTTCAAGTGTTGCTATTGCTACATCTCTCACTAATGTTTCTGGATTTAGTATTCTCGTAAGTTCTTACTTCATTCATTTTAACATCATCATTAGTTTTGATCAATAATTTTATCATTATTTGGTAAGTACTTAATTCATTTATTATTATTATTATTATTATAAATCTATATATATTTTGTGTTTTATTTAGATTTTAGACAGATATTATACATCAAGACAACACATACATATTTGTAAAAGCAGACAAGCAGACAAGCATGATCATGATAAGATCACACCTAACCACCATTTTCCATTATTAAAATAGATATCACAAAATATATGATACATAAGCATCTCCACAATAATGCCAATGACAAATACTAGAAGATTTATTATTTTCTATATCAAGATATGATCTAATCATTTTTAATTTTATTATTTTATTATCTTGATATGATCCAATCCTTTTTTTAAATTTTCTGTATTATTATTTAATTTGTTTATGAACACATGTTTGATCTATATCTAAGAATGACTTTTTTTTTTCTTCCACATTTTTCAAATACAAAACGAAAAATAAAATGACATCTCTTTAGAATAGTAGTTAAATTACGTAAATTACAATCATCATAAAATTGTTTATCTATGGAAAAACCATACATAAATAACAAGAGAAAGGTTTTGTAAATTAGGAAGGAGGTTTAAATTCTAGAATTCGTGTTTTAAATATATGAATGTTAAAATCTAAAGAGAATTAAAAAAATTAAAAAAAGAAAAGAAAAGAAAAACTAACAAAATAAAATTATTATCTAACCTCATTTCCTAGTATAGGGTCAAATTACCTTTTCGTGAATTTACTAAGTTATAGTTTGATTCTTTATTTATTTATTTTGATTTACTTAAAAAAGACGGGGCAGAATCTCAAATAATTTTAAATTTTTATAATACACCTTTTTCAGTACTTGAGAAAAAAGTCATTATTAATTTTTTTAAATTAGATATTTTTATAGTGAAAAAGAGCCGGGAGCAGAACAATTACAAGATTCATTACATACTACTTTCTCTATCTCATATTAAATTTAATTAAAGTTAAGCATACTTTAAAACAAAAATAAATTTGGCTGTGCTAACTTTTTTGATATTTTAATTTAACTTTTTAATGACAAAAATATATAATTTTTAATGGCTAAAATTTTTCAAAAAATACATACAAATGTTAAAACAAAATAAATTGTTTCTGAAATTCTAGCTCTATAAATGTTATCAATGAATTTTTTCTTGGAAATTTTGGTAGTCAGGGATGGCTGGAGGATTAGAAACTTTATGTGGGCAAGCTTATGGAGCAGGAGAATTTGAAAAATTTGGAATGTATACACACAGTGCCGTAATATCCCTTACCATGGTTTGTGCACCAATAACAATGATATGGATTTTCATGGACAAAATACTAATACTCATAGGCCAAGACACCACAATCTCCTATGAAGCTCGAACATATGCACTTTGGTTAATACCTGCCCTATTTGCCTCTGCAATTCTCAAACCTCTAACACGTTTTTTCCAAACACAAAGTTTAATTTTTCCAATGATTATTAGCTCCTTTCTAGTTTTGTGCTTCCATCTAATTACTTGTTGGACATTAGTATTTAAATTGGGATTAGGACATATTGGTGCTGCAATTTCCTTTAGCTTAGGAACTTGGTTGAACGTGTTGATACTTTTGTGTTTTGCCAAATATTCTTATGCTTGTGAGAAAACACGTGTGTCGTTTTCTACAAAGGCTTTCCTTGGTATTAGAGACTTTTTTCGTCTTGCTGTTCCATCTGCAGCTATGGTCTGGTAATTATTTATTCATGCTCTCTCAATTTTTTTTTCATTTAATTATATTTCTGACAATTTTAAGTCTGCGCCGTTGCGATTACGAGGTATTATATTTTATAATTATAATATGATATTTTTGTATTAGTCTCAAATGGTGGGCATGTGAGTTGCTTGTTTTGCTAGCTGGACTTTTTCAAGATCCAAAGCTGGAGACGTCGGTTCTTTCTATATGGTAACATATTTATTTTGATTTCTTAATAATACTTTCGAAGAAAATGAAAGCACTAATATCTAACTTTCTTGTGCATGTATATGACCAGCTTGACAATATCTACATTGCACTTCACTATATCCTATGGGCTTGGGGCTGCTACTAGGTTTGTTTCCGACAATTTTAATCATAACATTAACAAGTAAACATAGTAAAATAAAAAGTGTGGTTTCTTTTCTACGACAGCACAAGAGTTTCAAATGAATTAGGAGCTGGAAATCCAAAAGCAGTTCGATTTTCAGTTTGTACAGCAATGTTCCTTGCAATTGCAGAGGCTCTTATTATAACCGCAATCCTATTAGGTTGTAGACATATCTTGGGTTATGCTTATACCAATGATACTATGGTTGTTCATTATGTGGCTCTTATGACCCCTTTGTTATGTGCATCAATTTTCACGGATAGCTTGCAAGCAGTTCTTTCAGGTTATTAGCAACTATCATTACAATCTTTTACTATTATTCACATGTTCTAGATTTATCACTATATCTATATGATTTTTTTATTTTTTTAAATATTAAGGGGTTGCTAGAGGAAGTGGGTGGCAACATGTTGGAGCCTATGTGAATCTTGGAGCGTTTTATCTAGTAGGAGTTCCTATTGGTGTAGTATTAGGCTTTGTTGCACATTTCAGAGCAAAAGGTCTTTGGATTGGAATAGTTGCTGGCTCAATTGTCCAGACACTTTTCCTTTTCATTATCACTGCTCTTACAAATTGGAACAAACAGGTACACATTTTATAAACTTTATTATAATATTATTCTATATATGTTTAATTGATACAAATATATATATATAGGAATATGTGTTTATGTGTTTTTTCTTTGACAATTAATGTGCGTTTATGTGTTAATAATACAAGATATGTTCAATTTTTGTAGGCAGTGATGGCTAGAGAGAGAATATTTGATGATACTTCTTCTGATGAGAGTGCAACAAATCACAAAACCATTGTATAAAGTTCATTCTATTGAGAAATTCATTATTGCTTATTTTAGACGGTTTGTTTTGTCTTTTTTATTTTATTCTTTTTATAATATTACTTAATTTATATAAAAAAGTTATAATTTTTTTCTTTATAAAATCTTTAAATAAAAATTTGGTTTAAATAATTATTTTTAAAATATTATTTTAAACATTTTTATTTTATTGAAACTTTATTTAAATATTAAAATTTTAAAAAACTACTTAATTTTAAAGTTATTTCAAATAACTTTTCATAAAATTCATTTTTGAAATATTATTTTTTTAAATTATGATTTCAATTATATTTTAATGTTCAATAATTTATATTTATGTTATAGAAGGTTAACATTAATCTTTAATTTTAAAAAAACAAATAAAAAAATTATAATATTTTAAAGAACAATTTTATAAAATCCATTTTTACAAATAAAAAAAACAATTTTTTAAAATTAAAACAAACAAACTCATTGTTTCTCGTTTAAGAAAATCTCGTCTGAAATATTATGAATTAATCATGTGTATATCATCATTCAATGAAAGAGGTTAAAATCAGTCACTCAAAAACCAAAAATATAAATATCTTTCTTTTTGTATTATTTTTTCAAAATATATAAATTTGTTAAACCAAAAAAGTGTGGCGCGCGCATATATATATATATATATATATATATATATATATATATATATATATATATATATATATATATATATATATATATATATATATATATATATATATATATATATATATATGATCTGACCTGATCAGAAGGTTTGGACCGTCACGGCTTACTCCGAGCTGAAGGCTTTTTGAACGAGGAGGGGGGGGAGGGGTACCTGCAAGGCACTCCGATGCTAAAGTCAGTGGGAGTACGAGCAGATAATAGAGTTGAGGTTAGAATGATGAATACCTGACCCTCTAGAAACAGAGGGTATTTATAGCCCCCAGCGCTGGGCCAAGGTTCCTTCATTGGGCCGGGCGGATTTGGCCCAATGGAGGAACTTCCAGGTTCTACGTGGGTAGTGGGGACCAGCACGTGGTCCCCTTCCTGGATGTGCTGCGTGAAGTGCGGGCGGACGGAGACGCGGTCTTTCCTGGATATGGGTCGTTGTGGATAGGTTGACTAAGTCTGCTCATTTTATACCGGTGCGAATGGATTACTCGATGGAGAGATTGGCACAGTTGTATATTGAGAAAATAGTGAGTTTGCATGGAGTTCCTTCTAGTATTGTGTCAGATAGAGATCCGAGGTTCACTTCGAAATTTTGGGAAGGATTGCAGAAGGCTTTGGGTACTAAGTTGAGATTGAGTTCAGCTTACCATCCTCAGACTGATGGACAGACGGAGAGGACGATTCAATCGTTAGAAGACTTATTGCGTGCTTGTGTTTTAGAAAAAGGTGGAGCTTGGGATAGCTATTTGCCATTGATTGAGTTTACTTATAACAATAGTTACCATTCGAGTATTGGTATGGCTCCGTTTGAGGCATTGTATGGTAGACGGTGTAGGACGCCTTTGTGTTGGTATGAATCTGGAGAGAGTTCGGTAATTGGGCCAGAGATTGTTCAGCAGACTACCGAAAAGATCAAATTGATTCAAGAGAAGATGAGAGCTTCTCAGAGTCGTCAGAAAAGTTATCATGATAAGAGGAGAAAGAATTTAGAATTCAGTGCTGGAGATCATGTGTTTATGAGAGTTACTCCGATGACGGGTATTGGTCGGGCGTTGAAGTCTAAGAAGTTGACTCCGCGTTTTATTGGTCCGTTTCAGATTACGGAAAGAGTGGGAGAAGTTGCTTATCGCATTGCTTTACCTCCGAGACTTGCGAATTTGCACGATGTTTTTCATGTTTCTCAGTTGAGGAGATACATTCCAGACCCATCTCATGTAATCCAAATAGATGATGTACAAGTAAGAGATAACCTGACAGTAGAAGCATTGCCTATGAGGATAGAAGATCGGGAAGTGAAACAGTTAAGAGGTAAAGAGATAGCATTAGTGAAGGTTGCTTGGGGAGGTCCAGCAGATGGAAATATCACTTGGGAGCTGGAGAGCCAGATGAAAGAGGCTTATCCGGAGCTGTTCGTCTAAGGTATGTTTTCGAGGACGAAAACTCTTTTAGTGGGGGAGAGTTGTAACACCCCGTTTTCAATTAATTGATTTATTTGAATTTGGGAATTTATTTTATTAGAATTAATAAAATAAAAAGAATTATTTATTTTGGAGTATTTGAGGAAAATAAAAGAAATAAGGAATATTGGGATTTTTATGTTATTGGGCTTAGATGTTGTTAGTAAAGAGTGGGGGTGCAGAGAAATAAAGTTATGTTTGGGACTTAGGCCATTTTCTCATTTTTGGTTTTCACGTAAGAACAGAAGTTGGAATTTGGGAAAATAGAGCTCTGAAGAACGGAGAACGAAGAACATCGCTCAGGAACTCAAAGCTGCTAATTGATAAGGTAAGGGGGGTTTATACTCGATTTATATTTGTTTATGGGTTTATGTACGGTTGATTCGGGTAATCATAGGAAATCCCAATTGTTAGATGTTTCTAGGGATCGATAACCTTAGGATTGAACTTTGTTAGAAAAGGTTTAAGTTCCCGATTTTATGAATCAATTAGAGACTTTAGGTTCCTATGATGGATTGGATGTCTTTGTACTATATTGCACCGCCGTAGAGAGGTATTTTCGTGCAAAAAAATGGGTATATGAGCTGCTGCAAAAAACAGAAAAATTGGGTTCGCACTCATCAACACGGGCGCGTTGATTTACGCGGGCACCCGTGTTGATTCACTGTATGCTGATGAAAATGTGTTTTCTGGCCATAATTCAACACGGGCGTGTTGATTAACACGGGCGCCCGTGTTGATTCACTGTGTTGGCATAAAAATGGGTTTTCTGGGCACAATTCAACACGGGCCGTGTTGATTTACACGGGCGCCCGTGTTGATCCCCTGTTTTGTCAAAAAAACGTGTTTTCTGGACACATTTCCACACGGGCAGTGTTGTTTTACACGGGCACCCGTGTTAAACCTCCTGTGTTGGTTTTTAAACTATGTTTTCCATGCATGTTGTTAAGTACGGATTGATCCGGTTTTGATGTGCAGTGTTTGACATGTTTTGAATATGTGTTTATTGAATTCCTAGTGTTGATTGATGTGTGTATCGAATAACGATTGTATGTTATGATACCAACACTATGTGGATCTTATTGTCATGCTTTTAGATGATGTTATCAAGCATGAATTATGATATAACTTGATATGATTGATGTTTAATAGTATGCTGAGTGGTTACATGCTATTCCTATCATGTTATGTTTGATATTGTTGATGTGCATGATATGTTGATTGATGTTCATAGTATGCTGAGTGTTACATACTTACATATCATGTTGCATTTGTTAATTCCCATTGTGTGGAATTAACATGGTGGCCAATATACGTGTCCGCGATATAATGGAACGTTGAGGTGGTAGCCGTGTCCGCGATATAATGGAACGGTGAGTTATCCGTGACCCGCGATTTAATGGGGCGGTGAAGTGGTACCACATGCATGGGTGTGTTGCATTACTCGAATATAACATGAATGGATGATTTTTCCAATGTTATATTTGATTGTTTGTATGCGCATATGATTGATAAATGGTTGATGATGTTTGATGAATATTTGCAAATATGAAAGGCAATATGTCATGGATATATGAATTGTAAAGGTCTTGTAAACTATGAAATATGCTAATTATTGGGTGATGCTTATGATTTTCGTGAATTGATTGTTATGAATGTATAACCAAATGTATATTTGAGAAGCTCACCCTTACTGTTGCATATTTCAGATTGAGGAGCTTCGCTCAGGTGCTTGGCGAAGGCTTATCGTGTCTAGTTTAGTTTCGTTTTAGTATGTCCGGGTCATGCTCTGATAGTTGTAACTCCGGGAACGTTTGGTTGTCGAGCTGCTTTAGTCAGACTCGTTTATTTTCTTTTAATTGTTATAATATGACGTTGACTTTTCCAGGTGTTAATCCCTGATGATTTTGGAAAATATTATAACATTTGATTTTATTAAATAAATTATTCCGCTGTATAGACATGTATGAGTTACCACTAAAATTATGCATGACAGGAATTTATTTTATTAAAAGATAATTGTAGCATTCCTCGATTATTACATGTACTCTGAGTTTATAATTTTTAATATTTGCGAAATTATATGCGGGGTTTTAGAGGGTGTTACAATAGTGGTATCAGAGCCTGGTCGGTCGTTGTGACCAGAGTCTTGAGTCAGTCATTCCTTTTCGTATGCGACTAGTGCAAGGTAACACTGTCGATACTGTATTCTGATGTGGAGTATGTTTTAATTCTCAGGAATATGGCTGGAAGAGGTAATGGACGAAATGATGCTGCACTAGCTGAGGCTTTGGGGATGTTAGCTGGTGTACTTGCTGGAAACCCAACTGGAGGCGTGATTGGTGCTGATAGGCAATTGGGAAATTTCCAGAGGAACAATCCTCCATTGTTCAAAGGTACACATGACCCCGAAGGTGCTCAGAAGTGGCTGAAGGAAATCGAAAGGATTTTCCGTGTGATCGATTGTGCTGAAGATCTGAAAGTCAGATATGGTACGCATATGTTGGCAGAAGAGGCCGACGACTGGTGGGTTGCCACAAGGACTGAAATGGTTCAGGATGGAGAGGCACTGACTTGGGCTAACTTCAGAAGGGCTTTTCTGAGGAGGTACTTTCCTGAAGATGTTCGGGGAAGAAAGGAAATTGAATTTTTGGAGCTTAAGCAGGGCAATCTGACTGTTAGTGAGTATGCTACTAAGTTCACTGAGCTGGCAAAGTATTATGCACACTACAACAATGATGAGGCTGGAGAATTCTCTAAATGTATCAAATTTGAGAATGGTCTCCGAGATGAGATTAAGCAGGGAATCAGGTACCAGCGTATTCGTAGATTTTCTGATCTGGTGGATTGTAGCAGAATCTT